AACCGGTATGTGTTGTAAATTTGAATGGGAAGTGCTCGTTAGAAGCTGTGGCTTGTCATTTGCTTGAGCTTGATGACATTATTCACCAACTCACAATTGGACGCACCTGGTCGTTTTGAAAACTCGCCACGATTGCCTTTCCGCTATGCTACGCGGGTTCTTTGGTTACAAATCCAGCCCAAGAATAATGATTAGCACCACTTTCATAACCTTGTAGACGAGGAGGGTCTTAGCGAACGTTCAACTGTGGGTCAAACGAGGTTTACCAGTCAAGCGCCGGTGTGCGAAGCCCCTTTCTGATGATCTGGCGGGAATCGGTTCCACCTTGTGGCCCGTGCGCCCTTCCCTCGTCTGCCTTCCACCACCCTCACTTCCTTTGTTTTGTTATTAGCGTAGTGATCCGATTCAACTATTCGCGTTGTTTACGTTGTTAAATAAATTGATGCTCTTAATAGTTACAAGTATAGTGAGTGTCCACCACACACCATACTTTATATGAACCATTCTACGGGGCAGCCAACCCCTCCTCTCCTCAGGGGCCGAACCGTGCGATTTGTGAGCAAAACTGGATCAGTCCGTTTTATCGATGGAATCAAACCCTGTCGTGAGACAGGCGAGACAGAGTTAGGTGTTGTGTGGTCGACCGATTTTTGGCGGGAAGAGGCCAAATCAAAGACAACACGTCTAGATAGCTTTTCGATCGATTTTGAATGACTCGACCGAATTTTCATCGTCGTGACGGATAGCGTGCTTTCAAATTCCTATTATAATTCGTATCTGATGGAGGTTCACAGAACTGAAGTTGGTTTTCTAGAGCGCATTACTTGTGGCAGTTATACCAACAGTGAGGGATGGACTGCACGGAGAAACAGTAAAAGGCAGAAGTGGTGGGCACATATAGTTGTACTTTCCGTTCTAACTACTTCGTAATTAGAAGACGTATGTTGTTGGTTGGAGGAAATCTCTGTTACCGTTGATGAAGAAGTGAGAACCATTGGGTTCTGACCCGCTATGAGGCAAAGAATCTATTGTAGAAGTTGTGAGGAGAGACATAGAGAAAGAGTGGGAGAAACTGGAAAAGTTAGCAAGCACCTGCAGTCAGGGTCAACCTATGTTGCGACAAGTACAACGGGGAG